ACAAACAAACAAAAAAACCCTGGATTTTGACAGAAAGTGGAAGAATATGGAAGATTTACTGCTGAGTGAAGCAAGCCAGGCTATGAAGGAGAGACACTGTATGTCCCCACTTAATATATACCGAGTGTCCGCACTCTATGACTGAAACTGACAGGCTAAAGGATGTACAAACACAAGAGATGGGTGTGAATGCCAGATGTGGCGTGTGTGGAGGAGTGGGGCCTGGGGAAAAACATTTGGAGGAGGGATACAGAGACTGCGTTGTTGAAACAGGGAAATAGTATTGTTATATTTTGATCAACTAGACTGGGGAGAAATGTTCACATATTGGAATGATCACCTTGTAAGCTAAATAATGTGATTGAATGTATTAAAAATGTAAATAAAATAAAATAAAAGTAAATAAATAAATTTATAAAGATCACTTTATTTTAGTATGTAGTTATTTTTGAAACCCATTCAAGATGTTTTTTTATAGTATGCATTTTCCATGAGTTTTCTGAAGATTTACAATAATTACCTTTTTTCCACTAGTGTCAGGAGATCCTCTTTCTCAAATCTTCATTGTGAGAACCTGGTGTGGCTCCTGGATGTTGAGTACACAAAAGTGTGGAGGCCCCCTTCAGAGGATGACCTCTAGGAGTTCCTTATACTCACATTAGCCTATCTGTTAGCCTCTAAGAGTATTTAAAATTGCCATGCTAGTGTTCCTACTAGTTTATGATTTCAGGGGCTTCTATTCCAGACAAGCAGATCTTGGGTTATTATTCTCTATGTTTGCTTGTCTTTCTGGATTTGGGGGGAGGTGACAATTTTTACTGTAACTTGATTTTCTGATGAGTTCAGAGGAAGTCATCAATTTTTCATTTGTTCAGCTTTTTCTTGTTTTAAGTGGAATATAATGATCTTCCAGTTCTTTACATGTCAGAGCTGAAAACAAAAGCCTCTAAGTTGTTATTTTCACATTTTCTTAATTAGTTTAGTTACTTACATGTCTAATGATTTTTGAAAGTTACATTAGAAGGAACCAGCAGGTGGTGTAGTAGTTAAGACCCTGGATTCTCATATGGTTGACCACTGTTTGAGTCCTTGACCCACTGGCTTAAAACTCATTTCAGATACTTGGGCATGTGAGCCCAAAATCCCAAGAGGAGAATGGAGGAGAAGTGATTACAGCATGGCTATCACCCTAGGGGGCGATTTCTCACTTTCTGTTTCTTTTCTTCTCTCTGTCTCTCTGGAGAGCACAAGTGCGTGCATCCTATAGCAAAAATCTCTCTCTTGAAAAAAGTTATATCATAAACATTGTATATAAATAACAGGTGTTGTAGATAGAGTCTTTGATCGTTAAAGCATCCTCCTTCCTCTTGTGAGCATATACAGTGAGGGACAGAGCACCTCAATTCAGTTTAGATTTTCTTTGACCAAGTCTGAATTACAATTTAAGTAAGATTCATTCCATACCTGGTAATTTCTTATTTCTTGGGAATAGTGCTCCTAGATTTTTGCTTTATCTTTCATACCATAATGTTCTGTCCTTCAGAGACTTTGAGTTTAACTCTTTCAGCTTTCACTTTATACAAGTTCAAAAATCTGACAAATATCTTGAGGACCACCAGTTAGATGCTTTTCACAGGCTCCTTCCCTCTTGTGGCAGGTTGTTGCCTATGGAAGTCTGGTAGAGATGCCATTTTGCTTTCATATCAACCCCCTTCATTGGGCATAACTTGCCCAGACTTTTAAAAGAGAAGTCTATTTCAATCCCTGACCCCCAAGAAGTTTAGAGTTTATATTTTAGCTTTCCCCTCATGCAGGCTCAAATATGTCCAGCGCCTTGAGAGTGAGGCCAGCTTTGATTTGCTCAAAATCCAAAGGGCTTTTCCCTTTAATGGTCTCCTCAAGTCTAGATTTCTGCAGGAAATCTGAATCTGTGTTTGTGTCTAGCTTTTCCAATTTCTAGCACTGCCACGGAGCTCGGCAGAGGCCATGGGGGAGATATGTTTATTTTGGGGACTAATGGAGCTCGGCAGAGTTCATGGGGGAGATATGTTTATTTTGGGGACTACACTGGTTTCCAAGCCATCATTCTAACCACAAGTGACTGACCAAAATCTACTAGTAGCATCCTTCATTTTGAGCCAAGCCTTATCTTTAACTCATGTCCAGAATTGGCAAATATGTCTAGAGAAGAAAACAGCAATTACTGCAATTATTATTTACCTAGAAGAAGCTCTTCTGTTGCCGAGCTTTCACTCTTCTAGTCGTCACCATTTCCATGTCTTGTTTGTGCTGATATAATAGAGTACCTAAGACTGTGTAATTTAATAAGAGAATTCATTTATTTTCTTACAGTTCTGGAGGCCGGGAAGTCGAAGGTCAAGATGCCAGCATACTGCGAGGTCCCTTTTGCTGTGTTGCCACATGGAGGAAGGCAAAGGAGCAAGAGAACAAGAGAGAGAACTCATTCCTGTGAACTCTGTTTATAATAGTACTTATCTATTCATGAGGATGAAGTCCTCATAACTTAAACACTTCTCATTAGGCTTTATTTCCCTGTATTTTCATATTGGGGATTAAATTTCCAACATATGAATTCTAGGGAACATTTCAAACCATAGCACCACAGCTTTCCAATCCCGTAAAAATATGAGTTGTGTAATTTATCTTTTTTTTTTTTTTTTAATGTAGTAGTATTAGTCTGCCATGCCCTACTACATCTGCTTTGAAGTAAATGACCTGGTTACTATTTTTTTAATAACAAAAATTAGAATTCTTTTAATTTGGCATTTACCTGTTTGTATCATCTCTCGTAATATCAGCAGTACTGTCTAAGTCTCATTTATTGGCTCATCAGATTAGCTGAATAAAAGCAATCTTCCCTATATGTTTAGTTTTGGACTGTCAAGAAGAGTAGAAATTCAATATTTGTATTTCAAACTTTGAAAGGTATAATAAACACATACATCTATGGTTCTATTGGGCATTTAAAGGAACACAGTAGAGGAGAATTCAGCATCCATAAAGAGGAGCAGAAACCACAATTAAAAAATTGTGCAATATTACATGAAGCAGAAGAAAACTGAAGTATCCTGTGGGGCACTTTAATTAGAGCCCAGAAAATTGCAATTTCTTCAGAAACAACAGAAAGAACAGGATAAAAACAGTGTAGATTCACATAGGACTACTTAGAAATATGGCAAAAAAATTATGCTGGAAATGGTAAACAGGGGAGAGAAACTCAGAAATTAAAGAAAAAAGAAAAGTAACTTCAAAAAAATCTCAAATATTTTAACATTATATAATACTAATTAGGTCAGCATGTTGCAGAAGGAAAAAAACCACTTTAATGTTTTAGTATCTTGGGTAAGGATGCAAGTTATCAAGTAATTGGAAAAACTGTGAAACAAGTGGTCTATATAATTTCAAACTGGTTGGAATGCAAACTAGACACAGGGAAGGCAATGGTATGTGTCTTTGACTAAAAACAGATCTTAGCTCATTTTGGGGGTTTCCTATAGTTGACATGACTGTCGAGGTGCATTACACACATATGTAGGTACTTGTGGGGTGTGCATATACACACAAACAAAGGGTGAAGAATGGTGTGTCACTAGTTTTATACATAGATATGGACACTTTCATTTCCAAATATGAATTCTGACATATATGTCTATAAAATTAGGAGTGTCAGGGGACAGAGTGTCTACCATTAATAATGCACTAGCAAATTCAAGGCCTATTGGGATACCTCGTTGGGACAGAAAAGGGTATATTCTGGAGTCAGACTTGAGTTCAGATCCTGGCACCACACACTTAACAAATGGATGAACAAGTTTTTCATCTTACTGAGCTTCAGTCTTCTCATGTGTAGATAATCTCGAATTCTTAAGATCTTGGTGGTCATTATATTAGTAGTACATGGTTCATACCAAGCACAATGCTGGGTATCTAGTAGGCATTCCATAAATGATAGCTCTTATGATGCACAGAGAACAAGAATTACAGTTGGTAGGGGCATGGCTAGAAAGGTGATGTTTCACTTGAGGGAAGAGGGACAGTGATGGCATGTGGACCAAATGAAGTCATTTGAAGATTAGTGGTAAAGAAGCATAGTCAGAAGATGAAAGAACCTGCTGTTGGCATTTGAAGGAAGCATGGGTTCTGGGTAGAGAAGAAAGATAGCAACCAGCTCACGATGCAGGTGGGGAAATGTGATCAGTTTGTGAATTTATGTCTTCTAGATTCTTTCAAGATATGATATTGACTTTTCACCAGTCACAATGCAGTTGCAATAAATATAGGAGTCCTGGATTCCTACCTGTGCCTGGGTTCCCATTGTTACCTCCTGTGAAATTATAGTGTAAATCAGTTAAAAGATTTATGTGTGATCTAATCCTGCTCCCAGTAAAGACTACATGTGACTTTTGACACACCACTCAACTGCTTTGTTTTCACCACCTTTATTTGTAAAATGAGGAGTTAAGGTCATTGCAGACCTTTATAAGTCTTAGAGTCTATTTTGTTAAAGCTGAAGAAATATTTGATAATTTTTAAACAAAAGATGAAATAAGCAAAACACTGTTCAAGTATAATATGAGACAGGAGACAAGACAAATTACTAATGACTGTGATAAGCATGCAAAGGAAACAATGGAGGGGTCTCAGTGGGCTGCAAGCCAGACACACATTTTTTTTTATCAGGGCACTGCTAAGATGCAGAGAAGATTCGAAGTTGGGGGCAGGGAGAAGGGACAATTCCAGCTTGTACAATAAAGTTCAATAACCCTTTTATGGGGCTAGAACTCAAGGAGGAAAAAGAACTAACTAAGAACCTAGTACTTGTATGTAGAAAAAAGTCATGGTTGCTTCCTCCTTGACTAAAGAGTCACCACACAGAGAGGTTTAGAATGTGACTCACTTGGGAACCAGCAGTTAGCGTAATGGCTATGTCCCTGAACTCCCACGTATCAACCACGGTTCACATCCTGGACCTGGTGGCTTAAAACTCATGCCGGGTGCATGTGCGTGCGTGCCCAAGATCCCGAGAGGAGAATGGAGGAGAAGGGATTGCGGCGTGACCATCCCCCCTGGGGGGTGATTTGTCGCTTTCTGTCTCTATGTCTCTCTCTCTTTCTGGTGAGCACACACGCCCTATAGCAAAAACCTCTCCAAAAAAAAAAAAAAAGAATGTGACTCACTTTTACTTCTCTGGCTGGAGGATTTTTTTTCTCCCTCTATTTTTAGCCTCTGGCCAGAGATGATTGGGCTTGCTGAGTGACTGGCCTCTTAATTAAATTTACTGATGAAGGAAACATTTTGTGCTTAGTCAAACAGTGGATAAGGACAAGGTCTGGGAGCACACCAGCGAGACAGAACAAACCCACTTCTAATGAGGTCAGAAAAAGAATTCCAAGGAACATCAAAAAGAAGTTGGTCAGGGGAAGGACTCAGCAAACTTTCAGGAGCAGAAAGTTCTATATGTGACCCTTCATTAAGAAAAGATGCTGGCTATGCACAAGACTCAGGCTAAGGGCTGGGCCCTGCCCAGAAATTGGAAAATCAGAGACATGCCAAGAATTTAAGAATTTGCACTCTAGAGTTTGAATGCAGGCTTCCTAAGGTGATTGGACTTTCCTCCCTCACCTGACCCATTCAATAATTAGACAGTGCCTGTTTCTTAAACAGTGTGTTTAGGTCAAAGTGATGAATAAACTGGGATCCTAATGCTCTCTGGGCATAAAAAGAGAAAAAAAAAATGATCCTACAGTTCACTCTTTTCTCTTTGACTTTTCCATCCAATGAGGAATAATCAGAATTGTTGCAAAGTAGTGGTAACCAGAGTCCTCTGAAGAGCTGTAGGAAAGCTATGTAACGAAGAATTGCTGCAGTTTGTTCTTACTTTATTCCCCATTGTGGGAGATGGATACTAAGGTGATCCCCTCATGATCTCTCTCTCCTGGTGCTCATTTCTTTCTGCAATCCCACTCCGCTGAATTTGGGTAGGCTTGCAACTAGTCAACAGAACATGGCAAAGGTAGTGGGATGGTTCTCCCATGATTACTTTGTGTTATGTAAAACTTGGTCTTGGAAACAGTCTCTCTTGCTCAACTGTGGACCTTGAAGAAGCAATATGTCATATTGTGGACCACCTTTGGAGAGGAGCATGGAGCAGGAAACTGTGTATAGGCACCTTTAGAGGTTGTGAACAGACTACAGCCAACAGTCTACAAGGAATGGCACCCTTCATTCCTGAAGTCACAGGAAATGAATTCTTCCAAACACATATAACTGTGTGGAGGCAAATTCTTCCCCTATCCAACTTGCAAATGAAAACAGAGCTCAACCACCACCTTGAATGCAGTCTTGTGAAACCCTGAGCAAAAGACTTAGCTGAATGGCTGAATGGTGCATGGACTCCTGAACAACAGAAACTGAGATGAGGAATGATTTTATATATATATATATAATCAATTATTTAATTAAATTCATGGCAAAAAATTTAGAACATTAATTTGTGAGGATAAACTGTCTGTAAGGGCAAACATGAATTGCAGGTAGCCCTGGAGTTGAGAGACAGCTTTGATTTTTGGTAAAATTTGTGGGTCCACAGTTTTCTCATCAAATGTGCTCTGCCCTATAATCTCATATTTTTTCTTCTCTCTGTGGAAGATCTCACCTTTCTGGTGTCTGGGTTTCCACAATGTCTTTTTCTTTTTCTTTTTTTTTTTTTTTTTGGGGGGGTTTTTTTTT